CACCTTGCCTTCCAAACCCTCCAGCAGAGGCGAGGCCATGGCTCCCCGAGGCAGCCTGTTCCACCGCTGAATTGCCCCCATGGCTGGGAAGTTCTTTTCAGGCCCCCCTCCCTGGGAGCAGGCGCTTTGCAGAAGGTTCCTCCCTGAGCCGTCTGGAAGCTCGAAGTCTTCCGAAACCTCCAGAACTTACTTCTTTGGGGGCAGCTTTTGGTGTTTGCTGTGGGTGTGGGTGTTCTCGTTTGACCTTGTGCTCAGCCTGACCTCATGCGGCTCCTTGCCAGGGCTGCCCAGAGGGGTTGCTGTTCCTCTTCACAGCCCTTGTCTCTTCTCCAGTCCACAGGAGAGACCCCGACCACTCCAAAGCACCCACGGGACAGCAAAGAAAGCTTCTTCGCAACAGCTCCTGCCACCTCTCTGACCCCTCCGGCTGGGGCTGCCGACCCCCTGGCTTCTGAGCCCCTTCTGCGGCTGAGCGAACCACAGACCAGACCCAAGTTGGCCTTGCTCCCTTCCCCTTCCTTTGCCGGTGGCCCTCTTCTGCCCCCGCAGGAACCACAGGTGGGGCTGGAGAGCACAAGCGAGGGGCCCAACACCGTCACCCTTGGACAGGGTAAGCAGCTTCCTGGCGGAGGGAGGGGACTGGGGAAAGAGGGGGACCTTCCCCCAGAGGGTCCTCCAAGGGAAGAAAGGCACCAGGGTCGGGGTTTGGGTTAGGGGCCAGCCTTGTTTCTCCTCCCAGACCCCTGGCCCTCCCAGTTGCTCTCCTTGGGACCCGTTCCACCCGTGGTGGCCAGAGGTGGGGATCTGGAGGGCTCCTGTCTTCGTCTCTGAACGCTCCGTTCCTCTCCTGACCTGGACTCCCCAGCCCTGCCCCAGGGGGTCACTTCCCTCTTGGGAGGAAGGGGAAGCTGCTGGAGGCTTGACCCTGGACCCCCGGGGGGGGGCCCTGCCCCCTCCCCTCCCCCCCACCCCACACAACCCACACAACCCACACAGGTGCTGGAGGCCACCTGCAAGCAAAGAGGAGAGCAGGTGTTTCGGAGGTGGCCTGTTGCGGCCGGTGAACGGTGGAGGATCCCCCTGGAGTCCCTGAGTGGGAAGGAGGGGGGGAGGGGAGACGTGGTCCAGAGGCCACGCGTGGCTCCAAGGCGTCTTCATTGGGAGGCCTTCTCGGGGGCTGGAGGGTCCCTGGGAGGGGAAAGGGCTTTCCAAAAAACAACACCCCAATGGGGCTCTTGCCGAAGGGAAGGAACTCCCCCCCCCCGACCTCTTTGCTCTTGGAGGGAGAGCCAGGTCTCTTGGATCACTCAGGACGAACGGCACCCCTCCTGCTCTGGGGTCTTCCAGGTCTGGGGGCGGGGCTTCAAAGCCAGAAGGGGAGCCGGATCTCCGTGTGAGCAGGTGCAAAGCCTCGGCCAGCTCTGAAAGCAGCTTGGAAATGGCAGGCTCTGGCAAGGGGGAGGCCCAGGGGAGGGGGCTCCTATCCCTTTCCCCCCCCTCGCCCCCGTGCTCCCCATTCTGGAAAAAGAAAGGAGCTGACAGCCTGCTCCTGGTGTGTTTCTGGGAAGGCGGCTGCTGGAGATTATGTAACGCGCGCGCGCTTGCCGTGTTGGAGCGGCGCCCGCCCGGGGTGCAAGGGGAGTTGGTGGAGGCTGACGTGCCGGTGGAGGCTCCCAGGCGCCTACCGGCCGTCCATCTGCATCTGCAAACATGAAGGTGATTACAGCCATCAATGATGGGATGTCATCCACTTTCATGTTATATTGGGGAGAAATAATAAGTCATTAGTTTGAAATTTGTGAGGCAATTTGTCTGAGTTGCTTGTATTAAAATGACAGAGAGGAAGAGAGAGAGAGAGAGATTTGCCATACTCACCTACCACCTGCATTTCTCCGGGTGAATTTACGGAAAGGGAGGACACGTCAGAGATATCTGAGACAGGGAAACTATCAAAATGGTTAAAGCTTAAGATTATTTCTTCACTCTTGTAAAGGCCCAGGAATGAGCTCCGGGTGTGCGTGCACGGATTCCAGTTTTCTTTTCCTGCTGGAGAGCAGCGCGTGTGAATGGGGCAACCCAGGTTTCAAAGAGGCCGCCCATCTTTGCCCCACTGCCCCTTTTTCTGCATGTTCCTTTTGGGGCTTGTTACACTTTGGGAAGTCACAGTGTCCCTGGAATAGGCTTTGTGCTGTTTGTGATGAAATCTTTTGCAAAATGTGGGGTGCGCAGGTGCTCTTTTGTGCCGGGCTAGAAGGGGGGCTTTGGCGCCGCCTCTCCCCCTCTTTCCTCCCTGCTCCGCCCCCTTTGCCCGGTGTTTCAGGAGGGAGGAGGGTCCGTGGCCGTAGCGGAGGCTGCCACCCCCAGGGATGGGGGTCCTGTGGGAGGCTTTCGGTGGTGGCCCGAGGACAACCCTCGGCCCTTCCTTCCTTCCTTCCTCGGCCTGCCCACCCTGAGCCCGTGCCATCAGGACCCGCTGCCTTCATTCACTCCTGGCTCTCTCGTGGGCCAGGCTGGCAAGCCAAGCCAAGGAGCAGGGCCTCTGGCCTGTGGAAACCGGGGTGGTCGCCTCGCCCTCTTCTCTGCTGGGCGGGTGGAGGGAAGGGAGCGCCCCCCCCTCTCCCCCCCCCCCCCCCCCCCGCCAGAGAGAAAGAGAGTCATTCCCTTGTGGTCCTTCTGTTTCTGCAGAGGAGGAGGAGGTGGTGGTGGCGGCGGCGGCCGAGGGAGAGGAGGCAGGCAGGCTGGAGCAGCCCCTGGAAGGACTCTGCTTGCGGCGGGAAGAGCTGTGTCCCGGCCAGCCACAGAAGGGGGCGGCCACGGCGGAGGCCCCTTCGGCCAGCCTGGCCCTCTGGCAGGTGGAGGGGGAGTCAGCGACCAGCACAGGTCCGGCAGGATGCCCCTGCGGGCAAGGTGAGCCTCTTCCCTGTTCCGTGGTGGTGTTTGCCTTCTGCCTCTGAGGAGACCCTCCCACTGCTGCGCTGGGAAAGGAGAACCTACCAAAGGGCAGGAGCGGGGGGGCCTTTGCACCCCCAATGCAATCTGGCCATCCTGAGCCCTGTGGCGTACTGGCTGGCCGGATCGCGGTCCCGCCATCCCTCCCCCCAGGTGCGCAAAGCCAGCCAGAGCGCATGCCAACATGTCATCCCGGTCGAAGGGAGAGGGTTGGGGCTCCTCTTCAGGAAGGAGTCTGCTGGAGGGGGGGCTGATTCTCTCCTCCCCACCCCCAGCATGGAAGGGAGCAGACTGTCCTTCCTGACAGGGAGGAAGAGCACCTACCTAATGCACGGCCGGTGGCGGCTTTGGCTCACGAGGCAGGCGTGCGACTCTCGCTGCGCTGCGTCTGCTTTTTCATTCAGGGGACTTTTTCTTGTTCTTCTTTTTCAGCCTCCAGTTCTGGAACTGAGCCTCGCGCCGACTCGCAGCCTCACGGGGGCCAGTCCAGCAAGGCTGACGGCAGCCGCGCCAAGTCCCGCGTGTTGCCCGCCATGCCGAAGCTTCTCATCCCCTCGGTCACCAAATTCCCCCCCGAGATCACCGTCACCCCACCAACGCCCACCCTTCTCTCCCCCAAGGGCAGCATTTCAGAGGAGACCAAGCAGAAGCTGAAGGCAGGTCCCTTTCCTTTCTGGGACTTCTCTTCCAAGAGAGAGAGAGAGAGAGAGATGCTGGGGGTGCTTCCAGCCAGGGCGGGTTTGCCCCCCAATCATGGCCGCATCCCCCAAGAAGGGTCAACATGCAGACAACCGGGTGGGAGACACTCTTGGACCTCTGTGTGTGTGTGTGTGTGTGTGTGTGTGTGTGTGCGTGCGTGCCTTTTGTGTGACAGGCTGCCTCGGGAGCCACACGCGAGTTCTCAGGTGGGCTCCAAGATGTGGATCCGAGGGTGTGGCTCTTTCCGTGGGAGAGCCGGGTGATCAGGAGCAAGTCCTGTTGCCTGCTGGGAACCAGGAGCCACAGGGGGCTCTGGGGTCAGGGCAGAGCCACCTCCGGGGGTCCTTTGCGTGGGGAAGGGAGCGCTTGAGCCAGGCCGTGGGCAGGTGGAGGGCCGGGAGGAGACGCCGCCTCCGGCTTGCGTGTCACTCGGCCACTGTGGGCTGACCCAAGGCCAGGACCCGGCACCAGGGCAGGGAGCTTCCTGGTGGCGCTTCTTCTTCCTGAGGCCGAGGCCTCCCGGGCAGCCATGCGCTCCCACCTTCCTCTTCGCCAGGTTTTGTCTGCCAAGGAAGAAGGTAGGTGGAAAACGAATGGCAGAGCAGCAGAGGGACTGGGTCGCTGGATGAGGCCTGAGCCAAGCCCTCAGAGCCCTGGGACATCCTTAGGTATAACGCAGGCAGGAGAAGCAAGGCTTTGTGCGGCCTTAAGCGTGTCAAGGGGTTGTGTCCCCATGTTCGGTGGGTCCCTGAAGGCCTGGAGTGCCTCCCAGTGGCTCGCCTCCCCCACGTTCCAAGGTGCTCAGCGTCCGATCTTTTGGAGCCTCCTCAGGACGTCCCAGGCAAGCGGGAAACCTTTGGGAACTGCGCTTCCTCCTCATTTTTCAATCTTCCCCTTTCCTTGCCAGTCGGCCATTCTGTCCGCTCAGTCTGCCGCAAATGTGAAAAAGGAGAACCTCTGCCAGCCGGCCCTGGAGATTGTCGAGACCTCAAGCCAGGAGTCCTCGCTGGAGAGCGACACGGATGAGGAAGAAGACGATGACTACATGGATGTCTGAGACCACCCCGGTCGCGGCTGCCCTAGGCTCTCCCCCCTCCCCTCAGCCACCTATCCTTGGAGAGGCAAGGCTGGCCTGCCAGCGTCCCTCCCTCACCAGCACAGCCTCTGTCCCTTGCTTGCTCTTACTTCGGCCACTGCCAGCGTTGCCTGGAACTTGCTTGGTGCCGTCCGCGCCAGCCTCTCGCCCAGCTGCCTTGGCCTCTCTCGTGGACTTTGGGGCAACAGCCTCTCTCTCTCCGCAGCCCCTCCTCTCTGGGAAGCCGGCGGTGGGGGGGGGGAAGCAGGCAGGCGAAGTGGAGAGGCTGGCCCCGCAAGACAGGCCTTGCCTCCCCTCCCACAGGACTCTCCCGGGAGGAGGGTGGCACTCAAAGGCCAGGCGGAAGAGGCGCCAAGCTGCCCCACCCCTCGGGCCAGTTCTGGTGTTTTTGGGCAAGCGGTGTAGGCTGGAAGGCTGCCGAAGACCTTTGGTTGTGGTGAGAAAAGCCATTAATGGGTCTCAGTACCATTTTGGTACAGTCTGCTTTTTTGTTTTGTTTTTTTACAGTAGGACACACCAGAAAGGTTTATGATTGTTTTTCTAGGTATCCATGAAGGGATTTGCCACATTTATAGGGGGAGAATAAAGGAAACTATGCTTTTTCTACTGTACCTTACATTTGTAATACCATGAAAGCTACCCTGCACAGCAGGCGGGTGTGTCATGCACAACAGCCCTTGGGCAGAGCTTGCGGGGAGGGGCCTTCATGAAGGATGCTATGCAGAGCTTTGTGTAAATAGATGTGTCTTTTTCTAATAAAGTGGACATGCGCTCTGCTGGCCTCCAGCTGTTCTCTGGACTCGCCACTGCCTCCCTCCAGCGGGGCAGAGGAATTTGGGCCTTCAAAGGAGCCTTGCTCTAGAACTGGAAAGGGTTCTGGTGACGACTCTTGAGAAGACCCCCTTCCCTGTGTCCCTGAGCAGGTGGGGAAGGCGCGCCAACAGCTCCTCCTCCTCCTCCCCCCCTTCCTCTGCAGAGAGGTCTGGGGTCTGGGATCTGGTGCTGTTCTCCTGAAGTCAAGCCCTTCAGCTCATGACCAGTGAGGGGGGGCCCAGCTGCCCAGAAGAATGAACTACAGGTACAGGAGGTGGGGGCCACTTTGGACCCAGGTGAGCCCGAAGTCACATCTACTCACCATAGTGCCAGATTCCCCCCATGAGAGCAGACTTGGACTGGGCTGCGAGCCCAAAGGGGTTGGGTGGGGGTGTTTGAGTAAAGTCTGTGCCAGGCTGGTCGTTCCTGCTCTCAGAGAAAATGCTGTTGTGGAAGGCCAGCAGGGAGCCCAGAGTGCAAAACTCTGCAAGCCCTCCTTCCCCCCCCCCAACAAGGAGGGCGGTGGGCGATAAGTGGGTCTGCGCTTGGAGGGCCTCCCTGCACCCTGCTGAAGCAGCCCTCGCCTTTTGAGCTTGTGAGGTGCCGGCTGCTAGGCAGGGTGCCATCACCTCAGGCGCCCTCTTCACCTTGGGAATCGGGCCTCCCCCGCCACCCAGCACCCATCCTGCTGCGTCCTGCAGGGGTGAGGCTAAAGGATCCAAACGGAGGGGCAGGTCGGTGTGGGACTCATGGGGGGTCGCCCCACGCCCATTGACTCTGCAAGAGGGCGCACAGTTCCTGGCTCCCCAGTACGTGTGCAGAGCAGCCTCGTGAAAATAGTGCCGGAGCCTGGTGTGGAAGACTCTTTGGGCGGGGGAGGGCGAGGGCTCGAAGGCCAGGAGGGTTCAGGGGATGTCTAAGGCTGTTGGGATGAACAGACACATAACAGCTGATTCCACCCACCCAGATCCTGAAAATGTGAAATCTAGTAATTCATTGGCTTCTCACCCTCCCCGAAAACCAAACCACATGCAGATTTCCAGGTGGGCAGAGACCAAAAGCAGAGGCGTCCGATGTCACATTTGCAAGGCTGTTGATGAATTTGCCGGTTGTTCCCATGAGGTGTGGATGTGTGGGATTTGTGCCCGGTGTCGCCCAGAGAGAGACGGGGGAGGCACATGGCGTCGTCAGATTCAGGTTCTGACGGTTCTGACAGTGCAGGTGGGGGGGGGTTAAGGTTGACCAGCTGATCTTTCCATATGGCCTTCCTTAAGTATTCGTAGCCCTCCAGGGCTGCCGCCTGCCCAAAGGCGTTGCAGCTGCGCTTTTCTGACTCCGAAGGGGACACCCACCCAGTTCCCCCTCAAGGGCTCCTTTGCCCCCCCCCCACGGCCTTTCAAAGGACCTGCTCCCTTCGGGCTGCAGTTTCTTAAAAACACAGTGGTGGAGACCGACGGAAGCACCCAACACGCTCCCAAAGAAGAGGGACAGGAAGGTGATGCGGTCTCTCTTGTTTTTCCAATGCCCCCCCCAGGGGGAGATTTGTCCAGGATGAGGGACTTCTGGTCCTTTAAGGCTGCCGTCCCCATTCAAGGGGAGCCATCCTGTTCCCACCAAAGTCTTCCCAAATGGAAGGTGCTAATTCTAAACCCTCCTTTGGACTCCATGAGAGAAATCTGTAAACAGGATATTTGCAGAATCTGCTTAGACTCGATAGAGGAGAGGCTTCAGGGACGTCAGCTGGGCCCAGATGCTGCTGCTAGGGTGGTGCAGGGGGTCCACCACACTGTGGCAATAAGCTCTTGGTTACTGTAATGCCTTGTAGGTGGAGCTGTCCCTGAAGTCGGCCCAGAAACAGTAGGTGGAGAAGAAAATACGGTGGGAGCAAAGACGCTGCTGGAATTGCCCTTAGTCTATGGCCCTGCTCTTTTAATCAAGCCTTCTTAGCTCTATACACACAGAGAGAGAGGAGCGGGCAGCTAAAGGCTGGTGGCAAAAGGAGGAGGAAAAGAGGAACTAAGTGAAGTTCATTCAAGAAAACATGATTATTCCTTTGGTGATGTAAAAAGCCACATGTCAGGACAAAAGGAGCTTGGACAACAGGATAGGAGAGAGGGAGATGACCCTCCTCTCTGATTTTTAACCCTTCTGTTTGACTCAGGACTTTAGAAGTCCTCTGTAATTACAGTTGATCCTAACATATCACCTTAATTGGCTTTATTGCCTATCCTGTTTCATACCTGGAAATCAACAGGGCCTCTTTTTTTGAGCAGTGCAGAATAAATAAAGAGTGGGAAGGGGGGGTCTAGAAGTCCCATCCAGTCCAGCCCTTACTCAAGGCAGGAATCCCAATCAAAGCACAGCGGACGGATGGGCCTCTGGGATGCCCTCCAGTCTTGGAGCGTCCCTCGCAACCTCCTGAGGTAATGGGTTCCATTGTTGTACTGCTCCAACAATTAAGAGGTTTTTCCTGATGGTTAGTCTAATTCTGACTTCCTGAAGCTGGAGGAGTCCGTTATTGCGTGTCCTGCACTCTGGGATGATGGAGAACAGGTCCTGCCCCTCCTCTGTAGGACTAGCTTTCAAGTATTTGAAGAGTGCTACCCTCTCTCCCCTCAGTCTTATATTTCTCAAGGCTAAACATACCCAATTCTTTCAGTTTTCCCTCAGAGGGCTGAGTTTCCAGCCCCCTGATCATCCCGGTTGCCCTCTTCTGAACTTGCTCCAGTTTGTCTGCATCCTTCTTAAAGTGTTGTGTCCATAACTGGACACATTACTCTAGAGGAAGCCTAACCAGTGCTGAATGGAGAGGCACGAGTATCCTCACAGGATTTTGAGACTACACCTCTGCTAATGCATCCTAAAATCACATTTGCCTCTCTCTTTTTTTTGCAGCCAAATCACACTGTTGGCTCATATTCAGTTTGTGACCTACAACAATTCCAAGACCCTCATCACTCATGATATTACTGTGTGAAGTATTTCCCCTCTTAGAACTGTAGATGTAGGTCCCTCCTCCCCCCCCCAAATATGTAGAACTTTGTATCTGTCCCTGTTAAATTTAATTCTGTGGTTTTTCAGGCCAGTGCTCAAGTCTATAAAGATCTTTTTAAATTTTTATTTCTGTCTTCCAGGCAATTAGCTATTCCACCCAATTTTGTGCCGTCTCCAAATCTGATAAACACTCCATGCACCCTCTTATCCAAGTCATTAATAACAAATCATTGAAGAGCTAAGGGCCCAGGATGGAGCCGTGGGGTTGATACCTCCTCCCAGTCCGAGAAGGAGCCATACGATTCTGTAACCCTCTGTGTTTCTGTTTACCTGACTGTTGTTCTATCCAGCCCCACATCTAGTTAGCTTGCTAATCAGGCTCTCCTGGGGCCGTGTGTTGAAGGCTTTGCAGAAGTCAAGATATAGTACATCTACAGCATTCCCAATATAGCATTTATTGCAGCTCTATGAAGACTTCTGTTGCAGTGAATGCTTACAGAAATCCACCCACCCCGGCCTCCCCATTGTACGGAAGTTAAAAGTGAGTTGTTTTGTTTTAATTCAGCCATTTGGGGGGAGGATGGCTCAGCTGGGCTACTCTGAGGATTTATATGTGCAATTAAATGCTTGTCCACTTGAGTATGAAAAGTCTCACCTAGATGATTCAGGGGTGGGTGGGGGATATTTTACCAAACACCATTTGAGAAAATACACATTAAAGGGAGTCAATATAGGCTTCATCAATGGTGCACTTAAAAGCCATTCTCTCTGCGGATTTATTTACACAGTGAACTCTCTGCCGTTCAGTCCTGTGCCTATGTTTGAATGAAATCCACGCTGGACGGCTGGGAATTCTGGCACGAAATGGCTGGAAGTGGCCCTCGCCCCACCCCACCCTGGGATAGGATGCCTTTTTCTATCTCTCTCTCTCCCCCCCCCTTAACAACCCCATCCCCTTCTTCGTCCAGATCCTTAGCATGGCTAATGCATGGATGGCAGCAAGCCTCAGGTTTGGCAAGAGATCCCCCCCAACCCTGAGCGCCTGAAGGTGGGGGCAGGTTGCAGTTGAGAAAAGCTTGTGCCACAGACACCTGGTGAGTCTTCCAGGTGCCACCAGAGTCTTTGGTGCTTGGGTGCAACAGGCTGAGACTTTGCCTCCTTGCTAAAAACCACTGGCCACTTCCCGTTCAACCCCACCACAACCAAGGCCATGTGCGAAAATCCCTGTTGTGGCTGGTCATGGCCAGCCCAGAGACCATCAGGAGATCATCCGCGAGGGGAGATGTTTAACCCCAGGGAGACTCTCAGGGCACCAGATGATGCCTGAACTCCTGCTCCCATTTCAAGGCCCAACAGAGGCCTCTTTTGGTCCCTCTTCACCATCTGTTTCTGTTCTTTCCACTCTAGTGGTGAATTCCCCCTCTTTGGCAAACTAGGCTGTCGCTCACTTCTTCCCCCCCCCCGAAGGCCAGGTCTGCCACTAACCAAGTGAACCATCCGTTGAACCATTGCCCCCCCCCAAGGACCCTTGTCGCTCACGTGGCAGACTTCTGTCGCCTCCTCCCTAGACTGACCCTCCCGAGGGATTCAGTGTGAGGTATTTACTGTAACAAGTGGTTTTACTCCTATAGGCTCCGATGGCTGGTGGGGGGGGGGGCGGCAGGATTTGGCCGTCTGCCACTAACCAAGTGAACCATCCGTTGAACCATTGCCCCCCCCCAAGGACCCTTGTCGCTCACGTGGCAGACTTCTGTCGCCTCCTCCCTAGACTGACCCTCCCGAGGGATTCAGTGTGAGGTATTTACTGTAACAAGTGGTTTTACTCCTATAGGCTCCGATGGCTGGTGGGGGGGGGGGCGGCAGGATTTGGCCCTGGTCTCCGGTTTTACTCCTATAGGCTCCGATGGCTGGCAGAGGGGGGGCAGGATTTGGCTCTGGTCTCCAGAGTCCTCCTCTGACACTTTATCTAAGGCACCACACCACTTTTCTCCCTATATTCCCACCTCCTGCCTTCTTTTCCTCAACTCCGTGCAGCTCCAAGGCCTTTGTTTGGCCCCCTTTTCTAAGGATGCAAGCGCTCCTTTTTGTCAATGAGGTGACCACCCCGAATTTGCCAAAGATTTCCCCCCCCCACTGGGGAGAGTGCGGCGTGGCAGAGGCCAACCTGACTGGGGCTTTCCTGTCCCAAAGCAGTCCCCCCCCCCAGCCCTGCAGGAATGGTGGGAAGAAGCAGAGAAAAGCCGGCTCATCCGGTTGGAGCACTTCTAGCAAACCTTAATGGTCACCCTAACGATTTTTTAAAAGAGAATTGGTAGTAAAAACAACACAAGTGAGGAGACTAAATGGGCTGGATTTCTACTTCCCAGGCAGTTTCACTGGTTCTTTAAATGGGATCATAAATCCAAAGTGAACCACTTGCTGACTAAAATCAGCCATGGGACCCATTTGTGCTTTAAGGGGGGGGGTTCTGAGTGCTTCTCTTCTCCCCCCCCCCCACCTCCCCCCCCCGCCCTCCCAGGGGGGGCGGGCGT